GAATTAAATCAAAATAGAAAAATGAGCTAACTTAATTTAAAAAGATAACCATACAGATTTGGCTGGTTTTCTCAGTGGCTAGAGCATCAGCCAGCAGAATAGAAAGGCATGTTGCAGGCTTGATCCCTGGCCCCGGGGTGCATACAGGAGTCAACCAATCGATATCTCTCTCTCACATCAATGTTTCTCTTTCTCTCCCCCTCCCTCACCTCCCCTCCACTCTCTCTCTAAAAAAATATATATATATCAATGGGAAACATATCATTGGGTGAGGATTAAAAAAATAATAATCATACAGCCTTGGCAGGGTTGCTCAGTCAGCTGAAGCATCATCTCATACACCAAAAGGTTACAGGTTCACTTCCCTGTTAGGGCACATGCCTAGGTTGTGAGTTCAATTCAGGCCAGGGCATGAACAGGAGGCAACTAATCGATGTTTCTCCTCTCTCTCTCATCAATAAAAGAACAGATCCACATATCCTCAGGTGAGGATTTTAAAAAAAGTTAACCATACAACAAAAAATAACAGACTGATGAATCTCAGAGGGAAGGGGAGGTTGTTGGTGGGAAGAGATTAACCAAAGAACTTATATGCATATATGCATAACCCATGGACACAGACAATAGTGTGGTGAAGGCCTGGGGGAGAGGGTGTGGGATGGAGGGGGTCAGTGGGTCAGGGGGACAAGATATCTGCAATACTTTCAACAATAAAGTTAAAGTTAAAAAACAAAGTAACTTTTAAACACAATATTCTGACTGTTCAATCTTAGTAAGATCTATTCCAAGAATAAAAATATTACAACATAAAGATCTAGAGTTATTTATTAAGTAGGCTTTTTATTATTAGTAGTAGTAGTCTTGGCACATTTTTATGTTATTTTATTCATATTGTAGACCAGAGTAAATAAACAAATATCTTAATGTTATTTAAATATTTTCACTGAAAGAGAATGAGGTACCACTATAAAATAAAATAGATAAAAATCTTTATTATTATTTTTATTAGAAATATTAGCTTGAACTTCTGATTAAAAATACCAAGGGAGATTTCCGGTGTTCATTCCCCGTAAAGGCCTAGAATCAGTAATAACACTGAGTGTGGATATCTTGATCTCTAAACACCATTATTGACTAAAAGTGTTGAATAACTATTATGCCAAGTAAAGAAGTGCTAAACAGAAAAAAGAATACTAATAAATAAATAAATAAATAAGTAGTCTCAGCACTGAGACAAAGGGGTTCCTGCTATTTTGGTTAACTTGAAAATCTAACAGAATACTGTCAGGTTTAGATTATAATTTCTGTTTAAAAAGTGAGTCCAAAAACATTGGAAAAAAAACAAAACTATAGAAAAAAAGAAAAGACCTCTTTTTACAGATAATATAAGAAAATAAATGTAGAATAAAAGATGAAATTAGAGAACTAACCAGTTTATAGCTCCCAGTGTAATAACTTATTTAGGCTATTACTATATATGGGCTTTGAAACCATTACTGTAAAGATTGTTGGGGCAGATAATTTTTGCATGGCTGTAAATTATCACCCCATAGGTCAATAATTAATCACAAGTGGAAATATTACAATAAAGAGATATGACAATTACTTACCCTTACATGCTCAAGTGGTATCACTAACAGTGGGATAACCTGATATTACTATGTACCTCCTGATGCAATGCTGTACAAAATACACAGCATTACCTATGTGCTATTATTGCTAAGCACATCTTACCTGAATGTGCTTATGAGGAAATAAAGCAAATTCAGAAAATGATAAAAGATATAAACACTTGGTGAAGGTTTACAGTTTTTACTGTAGTACACTTTTTCAGTTCTCTTTATAACAGATATTTTGAAAAATATAAGGTTAGTGGTCGTGGAGGAAGCAGTTCCTTCGGTTTTTACCTTTTTAAACTCAAATTCTGTCAACAGTCTTCCTGCTCATCCCAAATTGTACCCAAACTCCCTCATTAAGGAATCAAGCCACAGCACAACAGCCACACCAGCACACTCCAAGCATGTCTGCGCATTGTCCTCTCACTTCAGAGAGCCAAGTCCCATTCCATGCTGTTCCTGTCCCTCCCCACACTGTCTCTAAAAGGAAGATGCCCAGCTAAATAATGCACAAAATTTACATTAACATACCACAATGCTTAATATCTAGGTTTAGGTTAAGGTGATTTCATTATTGCTATCACTGTTGTTTTTGCCTGTGTATGTGATTTTCCCAGTCCAGAAGAACCCTGTGACAACCAGCTGTATTCTCCAGGTTTTGGAAAATGGCAATTCCCTAAAATCCTTAAATTAGATGTATTTGTGGGATATCGTCACAAAAAAATTCCATTAGGTAAATATTTACTGTCTGAAATAGTTATCACAGTTGTAATTCTTTCCTCAATGTCAGTCTTCTCTTTTAGATCATGTCTGTATAGTGACTAAAACCTACTAATTAATAAATGTACAGTAAATAATACTGATTATGTAGTGACCTGTAGATCATCAATAATAAATGATAGATTAATCTTTGAGTGTAAGATAGATCTTCAAAGGAGGTGAGTTGAGAGAAAAAATAAAGAAGAAAAAAAGAAAAGAAAAGAAAAGAAGAAAGAATAAAGGAATAGATGATATTGGGTAGAATAATCAGGGATATTTCTCTTATATCAGATTCTCTTATCCATATCTCAAATCAATAATCACTAACTAAATGAAGAGAGGCTACCCTATTGGAGAGTGCAGCATATAGAACATTTCCAGTATTATACAAATTTTTGTGGGATATAACTGGTAGAGAAAGTATAGAGTGGGAAAAGGGCCAATAAGTAAAATCTGAAGAAACCCAATATTTATAGATTAGAAAAAATATGTTAAAAAGTTCAAATAAAAGTAAATATCCAGTAGAGGAGTTCAAGAGAATATAGTAATAAGGAAACCTGGGAAGGTAATACACTCAAGAGTGTTCTTGAACATTTTTATATGCTGCTTTAATGAAATAGCTGAATAGATCACAGAAGCATTTTATAAAAGTAACTCTTCCAATTAAAATTCACAAATTTGAAAGCCCTGAAAAAATGTGCTTTTGATTTTATATTTTGTTAATATACTATGTTTAGTTTCCAATAGGCCCTTACTTTAATATTTCGGATTGTTGTTACAGTAAATAATTCACATTAACTTAAAAAAAAGATATTAAAGGTCCCTAAAATCAGACTCTCCAAATTTATGTATCTACATGTAAAATAACTCTTGCTGTAGTAAATGTTTCAAAGCTAAACTCAAAGTAATCCAAAGACGTGTGATGGAAAAGAGAGGGGGAGGTAAGTCAAGAAGCAACAATTAAGGAAATGTCTTAAACACCAACTCTATTTTGGTTTGCTCTAGCCTTTCCTCTCTTCCCACTTGTGTTAGTCACCATCCCACAGTTTCCTTTCATGTCCCTGAAGTGAGTTAACTCAGAAAATAAAGTCATCTGTCTCCATGCTTTCACTATTCTAAAAACAACTCCCATTGCCCGCTACGGTGGCATTTAAGTCTAGTCAGACTCATTTTACTCAAGTACCCCCACTGTCTGCTCAGAATAAACACTATTGGAAAAATTTACTGTAGTCATCTTATGTGAGTATGTTCCCCCTTCTTGAACTCAAAACATTCCTTAAATATGTGAGAAGGGCAAACCCAATCATTATGCTCAACGGGATTTCATTGAATCCTCTGACAGCTCAGCTAAACTACTAAGTGAATGTCTATTATAAGCATGCACGCAAATGTTTCATGGTAGGGAGGGAACTACTTGAAGCAGTTATTCTACCTGTAAACAAAGTTTGCTTAGATGGGCTTTATTGTATTCCTAGAAAAGTTCAATGGGTTTCATGGCAAATTAAAGGATATGTCATCATACTTGTGTTTGGCTGACTTTGCATCTTGTGTAACCAGGAATGTCTATTCCCATAGATTTTGATTTTGGTCCAAGTAAAAACTTGAAAACAGACTATGCATTATGCTGCTCCTAAACATCACAACTTCTGAAAACCCACACCATCAGCTGCAAGGCTTACAGGAAACGAGGGTGAGTGATATAAATATATATGGCTATACATATTGCTGTATATAAGGCATGCTTAATGGCTCCCCTGCGTACTGTGCCTCTCAGTAACAGAGCCCAAGGTTTATTTAAATTATTATTGCTGTTAAACCAAAGAACAGCTACAACTCACCTATATTTTCAACAATAGTTTTATATAAAGTAAAACACTCAATATCAACATCTATGTTATACACTTAACTAACTACTTTGAGGTTTATTATTTCTTAAAAAATCAAGATTCTACTCAATGGAGCAACAGAATAAAATCTGTTAAAAATCTAAATAATTCAAAAATCTCATTTTATAATCATCTGAAAAATAGCATAGCTAAGTAGAAATCCCTGATCATAGAGTCACATGGAGTCGCAATAAAAGTGGAATTTTAAGATGTTATATTGGATTTTGGACATCCTCAGATGATTCTTCTATACATGACAGGACCCAGATTGTTTATCATAATATTATACTAGTGTCAGGAATACATTTGAAATTATTTAATTTCGTGGCTTCAAGTGCACAAAAATAATGCACCTTTTTTCAGGTATCATAAAGTATTTGGACTGAACAAAGATTTCCTTCATATCAATATCTAAAAGAAGAAAAAAATCAAAGTGACTCATGTCACCAAAAGAAACAGGAAAGAAATATTCTCTTAAACGCCTACTCACAGCTGTTACCATAAATTGTCATAGCCTTATGGTCACAAAAGATGGAAAAACAACCATCAAATATCTTAATTGTCTTGCTTTTTATTTCCTTTCCCCTGGGAAGTTAAGTGACCCTTGCTTGTGAGTTAACTTTTTCTTTTTTAGTGAACATGATAAGAAAAGTAGGTTTTGGTGTTTGTGTTGAGTTTCTTTTATCATTCCATATAGATACTCAAGACTATGTGATATTCTTATATATAGGCATACCTTGCTTTATTGCACTTCACAGATGTTGTGCTTTTTACAAATTGAAAGGAAACCCTTCACCATCAAAAGATTATGACTTACTTTATTGTGGTAAAACAAAATCTGCAATACCTCAGAAACTCTAAATTATATAATACATATTTTTAATGAAGATAAAATGCAACAATGTTATAGTCATAAAGAATAAAAAAACTTTTATATTATTTTTCTATTAGAGTCATCTGTCAGCCTTACAGAATTGAATAAATACATTTATCTAGTCAAATCTGTACACTACATTTGAATCTTTATATCTGCATGCAAGTATGGCAAAGCCCACAAATATATATCTACTAGAGGCCCTGTTTAAAAAAATTCGTACACTCGGAGTGGGGGGTGTCCCTTAGCCTGACCTATGCCTTCTCACAGTCTGGAAGCCCTCAAGAGATGTCCGACTGACGGGCCTAAGCCGCAGTCGGACATCCTTAGCACTGCCACGGAGGTGGGAGAGGCTCCTGCCACCACCACTGCACTCGCCAGCCTTCAGCCTGGCTTGTGGCTGAGCGGCACTCCCCCTGAGGGAGCACACTGACCACTAGGGGACAGCTCCGTCCCCACCCCCCATTGCCCTGCCACTGCCTTTGCTGGTGGCCTCCCTCTGCAGGAGGTGACCTGCAAGCTGATCAGGGGACAAGGCCGGCTGGCGAGGGGCCAGCCCTGCCCCCCATCGCCCTTCTGCTGCTGCCCCTCATTGCCGTCCCCTCCCTCTGCCCGCTGGCACCCACCTTGGCTGGCCGGGTGTCCCCTGCTCACGGGCCCTGCCTCCCACCAACTGGTCATTCCTCCGTTTGGTCGATTTGCATATTAGTCTTTTGTTATATAGGATATTAATTTGAGCAGGTATGCTGACCTACATCAAAATAGGCAGAAAATTATTGAGTAGAAATTCCTTAAAGGCAGTCAGGTTTCAGTAATTTGAATAATTATTGTAAGCATCATCATCTGTTCATGTGAGAATTATATGTTTTTCCTTTGAAATTCTGTAACACTTACATATCTTTATTACAACAGTCATTTCATTTTTGCCACTTGTTTTGTTTATTTCTATTATGCATAGAATGTTGGTACTTGTATGGTTAATTTTGTTTGACAATTTGATTTAATTAAGGGATGCATAGCTGGCTGGTAACAAATAATTTCTGGGTATGTCTATGAGACTGATTCCAGGAGAGAGTAGAATTTGAATTGGTAGACTGAATAAAGAATAGATAGAGACTTCACTAAGGTGTGTGGCAGCAACCAATCCATAGAGGGCTCATAATATGGGAAAAAGACAGGGGAAAGGCTAATTTTCTCTCTCTGCTTGAACTGGGACATTCATATTCTTCTTTCTTTGGACATTGGAGCTCCTGTTTCTCAGGCCTTTGGACTTGGACTTATAGCATTGCTCTCCTCCACCACCCTTGGCCTTGGACTTGGACACCAGCTTCCCTAGTTCTCAGGCCTTTAGACTCAGATTGAATTATACCACTTGCTTTCCGCGTTCTCCATCTTCCAGATGGCAGAGCATAGGCCTTCTCAGCCTCCACAATTATATGAGCCAATTCCAATAGGAATTGTCCTCTTACATATATAATAATATATAAGATATATAAAAGATATCTATCTATCTGTCTATCTATCTATATCTATATATCTATATATCATCTATATATCTATATGTCTATATATCTACATGTCTATATATCTATATATCAATATATCTATCTAGTATATCTGCCTTTGGTGCTCTCTCTCTCCCTGGCAAACCCTAATATAGTCCTCAGTCACCTCAATCACACATTATACATAGGACATTGTTTGGTACTCAATAACAGTTAAATGAGTAAAGAAGCAAAAATCAGTCTTCTAAATCCTGTTAGGTTTTGTATAAAACAAGGCTGCAAGGGTGTGATTTTAACACAGTTAACAGTCGGACATCCTTTTCACAATCCAGGACCTCTGGCCCCTAACCACTCACCTGCCTGCCTGACTGCCCCTAACCCCTCTGCCTGCCTGATCACCCCTAACTGCCTCTGCCTGCCTGATTGCCCCTAAGCACTCTGCCTGCCTGATCACCCCTAACTGCTCGCTTGCCTGCCTGATCACCCCCTAACTGCTCACTGCGGGGCAGCCAGCCTGGGTGAGGGGCTGTGGTCATTCTGGTCTCTGGCCGTTCTGATCATCCCACCATTTCAGTTGCTGGGCTTTTATTATATAGGATGGTTTCTAAAATAGTAGCACAGCAACTTGTACATATTACATGAGCAACAAATGTTTGTTAGTGTGAATTGATGAACTTTGTGTAAAAATGCCTGTTAGTTCCATTTAAGTTAAAAAGTTCTATTTTGGAAAGTGTTATTTGTCTTCCAGGTAAGGGGCATCCAAGATAGCTTACTGCTACACATCTTGTCATGAGAAGACCCTTTTGGCAATGGCTGCCATCATTGTGCTGGTGTATTCTTTTCCTGAGAGCTGCAGCATTAAACTCTAACTACTACACTCCCACAGCAGGATGCTCTGCTCTGATTGGCAGGGAGAGTTTGAAGGTGGGCCACACTGTGACCACTGATTGCATTCTGCAGAGTTGTGGTAATGAAATTTGAAGCCACCTTTAGCGAAGCAAAAAGCCTCAAAGTAATTGCTATGGGCTCTATAACCTTCCCCGTCTTTGCAAAACAGAAACACACCGTGCATTTTCCTCATGAACCTACTGTATTTACCAATATTGTTTATGAGGTATACTTTGCCAGTTGACATTACTTTAGTAAGCTTATTATTATATGGTCAACACCTGCCCCATAAATATAGAATAGAGAAGTTATATTATATTTATGTTTGGTGAAATGAAGTGTTACCCAAACTCTGATGTGGTGAAGACCTTTTGCGTTCTCTATATTTTGGGGAGCTACGTGCCACTTAACATATACCAAATTGGGTAAGCAAACATGTTTGACTCCAAGTTCAACTTTACGTGATCTCTGTGACCGGAGGTTGGGTCATACAGTTTCTAACGTATAGTTTTAACTAAGTTAGAATTCTAAATATATTTGAACTTTTAAATTAAGTTTTAAGTTTCTTATTGAATAGCTGCATATTGAGTAAAAGGAAGACAGTATGTTGATGAGTTTTTCTCTTACTAGCATAAGAAACCATCAGACGTTTACTTCAAGATAAGTTATTGATTAAAAAGATGTAATTAGAAACTATAGAGCCTTACCTTTTCCTAAAACAACACGACGTAATGGGAAATTAGTCCAGAAGCATGGAGATCTGGACTTGTATTTCAGCTACTCTCTGTAGCTGTGTGTCCTTAGATAACTCACTTCAACTCTCTGAATCCTAATGTCATGATTTAAAAATGTGGACCCTTCCTGTGTTTTGAGATGATTCATGTAGAAGGCCAAACAGTCTTTGAAATTGGGGGGGGAAAGTGTGTGTGTGTGTGTGTAGTTGTGATTGCTTTTAGTAATATTTTGTACTTTTAGTGAAATATTTTATAATTCAATCATTCTGATATTATAACTATTTTCTACTTCTCTTGTTATGAAGATAGAAATAAAACTGTTATCATTACCATTAACAACAAAGACACTGTTGAATGACCATTTGTGAGACCATAGGGCAATAAAACAATGCAAGATAAACACAACCTCCCAACCTCTTTCCTCAAGTCAATTTTCATTGCTACTGAAAAGTAATTTGGTCTGGAACTTCTAGAAGTTCCAGGGAAATACTCTTTAAGAAATTTATATTACAGTGAGAAATATAGGCAAGTTATTAGTTTCTTGAGTTAAATTTCATGTTTATTGTCCTCCTGCTTCTTCTATTTAGGAGCATAACTTGCCATTATACATTTGCCACAATGAGCACCCTTGCACATACATCTTGGCACACATGTGCATGTGTGTTTGTAGCATCTGTTCCTGGAAGTGAAACAACTGGGTCTGAAAAGATACAAATTTTATGTTTGATACAGAATGCAAAATTATTTTCTGTTGGACTTCCCCCCCATTTTCATGGCTACTAATATTGACCGGAGTCCCTGCCCTCAGAAGAGCTGACTTAGAATTAGTCCTACTTGTATATGTCATATCCTGCAACCATTTTTTAAAAGTTGAGGTCGCCCTCTAGAAACTAAAGGGAATAAATTTTAAGACATGTTGTTAAAAGAATTGAACAAATTTTCAAATTAGTATATTAGTATTTAGCTCTAGCATTGTTTTCTTATTCTGGGACTTAGCTTGTTTAATTTCATATTTTTATTCTGGTAAACAGTACAAAAGATAAGATTTGCCATCTTAACCATTTTGAAATGTACAGGTCAAAGTGTTAAGTAGATTCACATTGTTGAGAAACAGATCTCTACGAGTTTTCATCTTGCAAATCTGAACCTCTATACCCACCCATTAAAGAACTCCCCTCCCAGTTCACCTTCTGCCTCTAACCCCTGGAAACCAACATTCTAGTCTTGGTTTCTATAAATTGGACTAATTTAGATTCCTCATATAAGGGGAATAATACAGTATTTCTTTTTCATTTTTCCACTGATTTCACATAGTATAATGTCCTCAGTGTTCATTAGTGTTATAGCATATGACAGAGTGCTTTCTGTTTTAAGGCCAATATTCCATTGTATGTATGTATATATCACATGTTATTTATCCATTCATCCATTGATGGACAGATGGACATTGACTTGCTTCCACTCCTTTGCTGATTTATTTTTAATTGGATATTTATCTGATATGTAATGTATGTATACATATATAATTGAAAATTTATGATATATATAAATACAAAAAAGCAGTTCTTAGAGTAGAGCAAAACATCACCTTAAATCTTTACTAAGAGAATATTATTCCTGCCAAGATCCAACCATTCTTATCCATTCAATATATATCCCAATAATATTTTTAATAAACTTCCAAATGTATATGTACATACAAAGTATAATTACGTATTCTATGATATTGTATTTATTTTGCTATTTTCTTTTTGAGCCTGGTATTCTTCTGTGTTACATTTGTATCAGTAAATAGAACTCTACTGTATTCATTTAAACTTTTGATTAAATAAATATATGATCATTCATGATTATGTGGAATACTTCCATGCCACCTTTCCTTCTAGCTGTATTTGAAGCTTTATACATGTATAGGAAAATGCACTTACCAGCCAGCCTTTTCAGTCAACCCTGAGGAATAACCATTATCCTGACTTCTAAGAGCATAGATTAGTTTCGTCTCTTTTTTGTACTTTATGTAAATAGAATCATACATGACATTCTTTTTTATGTCAATTTCTTTCATTCAACATTATGTTTGTAATCTTAATTTATACTGCTGTAAACAGTGGGAAACACTCATAGGATTTCAAGAATTGCCCTTGTCAGGGAACTGGAATTTGAATGTTAAGGATATGGAGAGAATTACTTCTCATGGTATATTTTTTGGTATTGTTTGAATTTTTTTTTTTACCATGTGCCTGTATTACTTCTTTAAAGTACTCTTTAATTTCTTTTTTCATTTTTTAATATATATTTTTATTGATTTCAGAGAGGAAGGGAAAGGGAGAGAGAGATAGAAACATCAATGATGAGAGAAAATCATTGATCGGCTGCCCCTGCCCCACACTGGGGATCGAGCCTGCAACCAGACGTATGTCATGACCGGGAATTGAACCATGACTTCATAGGTTGAGGCTCAACCACTGGGTTACACTGGCTGGGCTCTTTTTCAGTGTTAAGAGAAAAGTCATTAAAACCTAGAGTATTGTAGTCAATAGTCTTAGCCTGCAAAGCAATTCGGTTTTGATCCTAAGGCCACCAGCAGGACAAGCATGTCTCTTATGGAAGTGTAGAGTGCTAAACTTTTTGTCTGTCCTTAAGCTGTTGTAGACCTATCAGGGAGATGGGAAACAGATCAGGAAATAAGATTGAATCCCTGGCAGAACTTGAAAAGCCAAATATCCAGGGCCCTTCAAACATCACTTGCTGCTCTCCCTTGTACCTGATTACAGATGCTGTAAGATATATTTACCATCCCCAGGGATCCAGCCAAGAGGTGTGGACTAGAATGTATGTCTCTGCCTCCCTCATTATGGCCTATAAATTCATACTTATCTGAGGGGGAGGCCAAGAGAAAAGACATTAAGCTGGAATACAGAGACTTGACCAGAGGTCCCAGAGTTGTTGAGAGATAGAAAATGCAAGGCCAAGGTATAGCCCTAAGAAAAATCACACAAGATTTTATTTTTTATTTTGAGTGAATAGAATTACCCTGAATGATTCAACTGATAGATGACTAGGGCAGTGGTTCTCAACTTCCTAATGCTGCGACCCTTTAATACAGTTCCTCATGTTGTGGTGACCCCCGATTTCATTGTTACAAATTGAACATAAAGCATAGTGATTAATCACAAAAACAATATGTAATTATATATGTGTTTTCCGATGGTCTTAGGCGACCCCTGTGAAAGGGTCATTCAACCCCCAAAGGGTCGCGACCCACAGGTTGAGAACCCCTGGTTTAAAGAGAATTGTATTGCTAGGAAAATCTGTGTTTGGAAATTAGCTACCTGAGCCCAAGAACCTACACCCAATCTACTACTATTCTTAAGGACGATCTACTACTATTCTTAAGGACTGTTCAAGTTGCAGAGCCTTGAGCAGACGGACAGTGTGTTCCCCATGCTCTCATGAGTGTGGCTATGGAGATCAAAGGACAAGAGAGAGCCTCATGCTGAGTCAAAGCAAACTAACTTATGCCTCTAGCAGAAAAATAGGAGCTTGAAATTATTCATTTATGCTTTTCAAATATGAATATTTATTGTTTCTGTTTTCCTAACATTGTCTGTTGGGTAAGATGGGAATGGTTACATTTATAATTAGAATTTTGCTGTGGTGTTGTGAGGCCTCACATCTGGACTTGATTAGGAGAAATGCATCTTACCCAGAGAGGCAGTCTTGGAACAGGATGACTTAACATGTCTTTGGGTTGTGCTCTTTGGGGAGAGGATGAGTGCCTTTTTATTGTAAGGGAAATAATTATGTTTGGTGGAGTTATCTGTTGAAATGTATATATATATGTGTTATGTGGGCAGCTAAGAGGTGAAATGAAGTGGACAGCATTTTAAAACTCGTTTTTTTTTTCATGTTTCACATAATAATTGCCAAGTTCATCCTTTTTGGGGGGAACGATGTCTGTCTTACTGCATGTGGTCTGGTGGGACTAATCTTATGCTTGCTCTCTCACCTTCCTTTACTCTCTGTAGCCAGAGAAGAGTCTGGCTGAGGTCTGACTTACCATATTACCTATGATGTTAACAATAACCATTGGCCCCGTGATGGCAACAAAAACTCTTTTTCTGGTATCTAACATACAGATGCTAGAGAGAATAGCCCATTTCTTTGAGTTCACTAAGCTTTGCGAAAAACATTCAGAGCCATGTGTTGACATTTTGTTAGTATCTTCTCTTACATGGAGAAATCTTACCTTTGGCAAAACCAAATGACCAACACCGAGAAAAGCCAAGCTGAGAAAGGAGACTTGACTCTTCATCCCCAAAGCCCATGTAGCCTCTGAGTACCCTCTGAGTTAGAACCTGATACAATTTTACTGCAAAGAACTAATCAAATACAGAAACTATGGGTGCCAGGCAATGTAATTCAGTAATGGAAGCTTCTCTCTGATTCCACCTGAGTCACGTGAATTTTGGCCGTTTTTTGTGGTCACTTAGAAAATCATGGTCATTATGGATGTGCAATATTTTTTATGTAAAGAGAAAGGTTTTAGCTTGTTACATACTAAAATTCATGTCTCCGTTACGTAAAAATGAACATTTATATAAGTAGATATACAACTTTATATGTTGCTTGGTATATGGTTTTCTATCTATTTTCTCTTTGGTTTATGAATCAAACATAATTTAAGAGATTGAATAATAATTAGTAAATATTAAAAATTAATTAGAAAAAATCTATTAGATATATCACTGTGTTTTCATGGAAACAGGTGTTAAGTTAAGGAAATAGAATATCCACATTATGCATAATTAGTGGTTATGATTGTGGCAAGCAGAGAAGAAATTTGCTCTCTTGTCAGGCACTCAACATCACACAATAACATAGGTAGAAAGATAAACACCAGGAGGAAAATGATTTATGTTCTACTGCTCTAAATGCATAATTTTGTATTTTATTTAAGACTAGAGGCTGAGTGCACAAAAATTTGTGCACTCGGGGGGTTCCCTCAGCCTGGCCTGTGCCCTCTCGCAGTCTGGGACCCCTCAGGGGATGTCCACCTGCTGGCTTAGGCCTAAGCTGGCATTCAGACATCCGTCTGGCAGCCCGGCAGCCCTCGGGGGATGTCCACTTGCCAGCGGGGAACAGGCCTAAGCTGCAGTCGGACATCCTTAGAGCTGCTGAGGAGGCGGGAGAGGATCCCGCCAACACCACTGTGCTGGCAGCCATCAGCCTGGCTTGTGGCTGGGGAGAGCTCCCTGTGAGGGGGCACACTGACCACCCGGGGGCCTCCCCTGCATTGAGCGTCTGCCCCCTGGTGGTCAGTGTGTGTCATAGTGACCAGTCATTCCCAGTCGTTCTGCTGTTAGGGTCAATTTGCATATTACCCTTTTATTATATAGGATGGAAACTTATATAGAAATTAAAAGCTGAGGTTAATGCTATGAGTCTGAGTTTAAATCTTAATATATTAAGGCAGTTTAGCAAGTACAAATAGTGCAGTATGTTAAATATATGGCATTTTTCAAATGATGCATTGAGGAAATAGGTATTATGCTGCCTTAATGATATAATATGAAGTACACTAATGGTCCAATGCTTTCATTATATTGTTTTCTTCCATTTTCTCAGCTGAAATGACAAAATAAGTCTTTTGGGTCCATGTTTTGAGTCATGATCAGCAGCATCTTGGGCTCAGATAACAGACTGAGTACAGAGCAAACAGGTGTGGGAGGAAATGGAATGTAATTCAATGTTTACCTGGACTTCAAAGAATGGTCCTTTCTTTCACATGTCATTAGAATTGGATGTGTTATGTCATGAAGTTGTACTTTCTTACTACACTGTTTTATTTTTAAATATTTTTCTATTGACTTCAAAGAGGAAGGGAGAGAGAGAGAAACATCAATGATGAGAAAGCATTATCAATTGGCTGCCTTCTGCATGCCCCACACTGGGGATGTAGCACACAACCTGGGCATGTGCCTAGAATGGGAATAGAACCATGACCTCCTGGTTCATAGGTCAATGCTCAAGCACTGAGCCATGACAGCTGGGCACTACCCTGTGTTTTAAAGTTCTTAGTTATGTTGACCTGTGATACAGTGGCAGAAATGAAAGGATATGCATTGATTATTTTTTTGTACACTGCTAATGTAAAGGGAAAAACTTCTTGCTTAAGTAGTGTAATTTACAAATTTTTAGGATTGTATGCTAAATGATAAATCACCATGGCCTTGAAAAATTGTAAGCCTATTTACTAACTGATCTAATATGATGAGACTAGAGGCCCAGTACCCAAAATTCATGCACTGGTAGGGTCCCTAGCTGCCGGCCAGGGCCTCCCTCCTTCCCATCCCTCCCCTCCCTCCCCCATCTGCTCCTGGACAATCTCCTGGTGGAGGGAACAATTTGCATACTGCACTTTATTATACAGGATTATTTTCAATACAGTATTCATATTTTCCATGCTTGATTTATAAACTACTTAAGATTATTTACCTATTAACTCATTAAACTGTCATGCTAAGGGGACTATTATCTATAATATAATATGTTTTCTAAATGGATATTCTTTAAGAAATATCATATAAATTTTCTTTAATTCTTTCTAATAATAAGTGGTTAAATAATTGACTCAATTATAAATTGCTCATAGTAAAAATGTATATTAATGTATATCAAATATGGGCTTTATTAATTTTACTTATAAAAATTTATTTTACTGTATATTGAAGATAATGTCAGGAGGGGTTTTATTCAATGAATTTTAAAAGTAGTGTCATTTTATTTCACAAAAAGGAGGCCAAAAATTAATGGGCTAAGTCTGTTGAGGAAATTTTAGCAAATAAAATAATAAAGTCTTTTTTTGTGTGTTTTTTTACTCACTGACACATTATACAAATGAATGATACAAGACTTCTCGGAATATTCTTGCATGCGAACGTGTAAGAGATGTAAGGCAGCGTCCCTCTAGATATTTAACACAAAACTCTGCTTGGAAAGATGTTAGATAAACTTTGGAGGACCCTTCAGGTTCTTGAGTCAGTGATTCTGTGATGTAAGCAAATAAGACAGTATGGATTTGAAGTGGTTATGTTTAAGCCAAGTCTTTCTAGAAGCCAAACTAGCCATCTGGTTTTAATGAGGCCCTTTGGAATGCAAAAATTTTAATGTTTTGCTTGGGGGCATTATAGTTTTAATTACTTGTATTTGACATATGTTAAATGGCAACTATACACTAATTATTAACCAAATGCAGCATTTGGTGCAATGCTAGCCTAATTTAGGTTGAAGTGTAAAATACCAGCATCTTTCAAGTAGAATAAGGATAAATAATTATAATGATGGGGCACTGGTATTTCTAATGAAGCTTGAAAAAAATAAAAAATTATCTAGGGTTAGCATGACCTTCTGTCTACTTTTACTTGGTGCATATTTAGTTCTTTCCAAATATGTATTTTTTTTTAAAAAAAAAAAGTCTGAATCATGTAATTTTAAATGAGAGGATTCTGAATATTTGATCATAACCAGATGTTTTCAATCTTTATCCACTAACTATATACAAAAGAGCAGAAGATTAGATTTCATCAGTTAAGGACAATTACTTCATTAAGATGAAGTAATTAGTACCTAAACTTTTTCAATCTGAAGATCTGGTTGTTAATGACAATATGTTTTGTATATATTGACAAAGTAGTGGCGATACTTTTAGGAAACTCTGATCAGGAAAATGTGTAGCAATCAAAAACTATCATGATAATATTTTTAAATAAGTTTATATTTTTAAAATTACAATAATATCTATAGACATTTAAAAATAAGTATGAATATGAGAAATTCTATTTACTGAATCTACAGAAATGTCCATAATGGATTTTAACATCGCTCGTTATTACTCTAAGAATTCCTTGAAGTTTCCTTCATCTTGATAGTACCAATATTATTATTAGGAACTAATTTCTTTGATGCCAATTTGTTATTTAAATAAAAAGTCTTTTTTAAAATATATTTTATTGATTTTTTACAGAGAGGAAGGGAGAGGGATAGAGAGCCAGAAACATTGATGAGAGAGAAACATCAATCAGCTGCCTCCTGCACCCCCCCGCCCACTGGAGATGTGCCCTCAACCAAGGTACATGCCCTTGACTGGAATCAAAACTGGGATCCTTCAATCTGCAGGCCTACTCTCTATCCACTGAGCCAAACCGGTCAGGACTCAATAAAAAGTCTTAATCATCCAAACCTACTTTAAAAATACATATAAAACTACATAAATATAAGCAAGTAAATAAGTTGATAATTGAGAAACACTGAATATATTACAAAACATATGGGTATAGATCATAGAAATGATTTCTTTGTTATCTGTTAATTAGAGGCCCAATGCACGAAATTCATGCAATAGTAGGCCTTCCTTCCCCTGGTTACTGGCACCAGCTTCCCTCCAGCACCCAGGACCCGGGCTTCCCTCACAGAGGGAGGCCCTGCCCACCCGCCACTGCCCACCAGTCAGTGGCCTGGGCCTCCCTCTGTGGAGCAATCAAGGGGCAATTGCCAGGCTCCCAACCAATCGCATCGCACCCGCCTTGGCTGGCCTGGCACCAGTGGGTGTCATAGCGTGGTCCCAGATGGTCGTCCAGATGGTCATCCCACTCTTCGGCCGTTCAATTGATTTGCATATTGCACTTTTATTGTATAGGATATGCACTGCTCATTTCTATTAGAAGAGAAGATAGAGTCTGTTGTCTCTCATGTAGAGATATTTCTAAAGTTTTAATTCTTAGAAGTGATAGTGTCCTTCACTATTTTTACTAGGTATAAACAAAGTCTTTTTTTAATGTTAATTTTATTTTTCTCCATTGTATTGTACTAATCATAAATGCTTAGACCAGGTAAACATGCCCATAAAGATTGAGGTTGAATCTATTTCTTTATGCATCAATTTATTTTATAGTGAAAGTAATATTTTAAACATGTAAACTGGACCTCTTACTGATTTTATTCATAAATGTAAGCAAAAATGAATGAATGGAATTATAAAGTATAAATTCTGTCATTACTATTGTAAAAATAAGTTGATTCTTGCTCAGAGGTTGTGTTCTGATATAAAATCTAAAACAGGGAGCAAAACAGGCAATCAGTATTTATGGCATTCCGATGGTCAGCAGTACTCTAAGTTCTGATATGGAGACTACCAGAGAGAAAATGTGAATGGTTATTGAATTCACATAAACCAAAGTATATGTAGTAAGGGTGCACTCTACACACTATGTCAGCTTCATCCACTTCCTGTAGTAAGAAAGGAACAATTTTGCTATGCTATTTGGCCACTGCCACATAATTTATAAATTTGCTTGTATTAACATCATAAACTAGATCATATTTCTATACATTACTATATCAACAGGGGATGGCAGG